ACTTATCTCTAAAGCGAGTACTAAGGCGCGGATTAGTCTACAGGGGCACGAATTTTGCATTAGGTATATAGCGGAGTTTGCAGCTATTAAAATCAATGCAGTTCAATTCAGTGGTTTGAGTCACTTAAAGAAAAAAAAGCTTGTTCATAGGAACTCTGAACTGGCGTCCGGTTTGGCTCCCATGGCTAAAATTTTTGAACAATAAAACCCAAACATGTCAAATATAGTTTTTTTTTACCTAATTTCAATATCTTAATGTTGTGTCGTAGATTATAGATTTGTTTGCTGTTTTTATGGATCAGTTGATTTTCCCCAATATGTTTTCATTTTCAGTTTGCACTGCCAATGAAAAAAAAAACAAACTTTAACATAGAAAATATTACGCATATGCCATGCACGAGTACGCCCAGTGGCGATAGGGCGTATGAGTAACATTATTTCCTGTTCCTATTCCATCAACAAATTATTGCACTTTATCATTTGACCATTCAAAACTAGTTTATTTACCCATCGATTTTTATCGTTGGTAGCTGGACTTTTTGGCCAAAAAACAGGCTTTAATATAAAGAAAAAAAGGTTACAAAATATTTGTAATTTTTTTAATTTTATCCTTGTTAAATTTGCATTTTTTTGTTTAATAAAAATGAAAATATTTTGGGATGGTGACCTAATCTATAGCATTTTCAGTTTAAATTAAACCGTTTTCAAATTAAATGAAACCTTTTCCAGATTCAATGAAACTTTATTAAAATTAAATGAAACTTCCTTTTAAGAATGTTTCATTTAATTTGAAAAAAGTTTAATTTAATTTGAATAAAGTGGCATTGAATCTGAAAAAGGTTACATTTAATTTGAAAAAGGTTTCCTTTAAACTGAAAGTACTGTAGAAAAACAGAAAACAGATTATATAATTTATCTTTTTTCAAATAAACAGGAAAATGAAATTAAAAACAAGTAATTTTTAAGAAACAAATATCAACGATTTCGATTCTTATATAAAAGTTTAATACATAGTACCGTTAATTTCTTTATGAGCCAATGATCGGATCTAAACCAAATTAAATGGGGCAACACCTTTCCGATAGAAATTGGAATTATCGAAATCGGTTGACGTGGTCCAAAGTTATGCAGTAACATACGTAAAAAAAAAATAAAAAAAAATATTCCGACGAATTGATAACCTTCTCCTTTTTTTGAGTCGGTTAACAAAGTTTTTGAATAAACTTTTTTAAGGATTGGACGAGTCATAAGTCTAGCCGACACGACAATAGCTGCATACATACTCAAAATTTCGAATTGACACTCAAAATCTTGGCTTAGGATTGATACTCGACGTTATGATAGGTTCTTAATTTAATAGGCTAACACACGCAGTTGCCGCACAAAAAATTGTTTAGCAGTTCTACCATAAGGGTTACAAAACTTGAAAAATGCTTAGGTGGATTTTCATTTTGAACATAACCGAACATATTTATTTTATTCTTCTCTTATAATTTTGTTTATTCGTTTGGTAGGTATGTCTTCGAAATTTTATCCGATAAGGTTGGGTGGAGGACCCAAATCGGACATATAATAAAGGAGTTATAGGAAAACCCCGATTTACCTATTTTTTACAGGGTGCCGCAAAAAATGTTATACTCCCGAAATAACTACTCTCATAGTGAGTATTCAAAATCTTTTGTTAGATAGAGTCTTTCCTCCATATGGGGAAACATAAACATTGACCAAAGGATTTCTAAGAATATGTAAAATTAATGCGGGATACTATAAAATAGCACAAACAAGAAAATCCACTAGACGACAAGTTCAACGGATGCAAGATTACGTTTTTGTTTTTACGTGGCTTAAAGTGGTTTTAGAGGCGATTCAATAATACCTTAATATTAACTTAAAATGAACTTTATATCCTCAAATGACGTTTACAAAAAAAGTTAAACCAGACTGCCTCGATTATTCCCACTTACTCCTTACGCTGCTCTTACTTATTTATTTGCTTTAATTACACATGTACATATATGTACGTATTTATTTCATTAACATATGAATATACTAGGAAAGTTTTAGGTCCCAAAAATCCCGAGATTCTTGGTAGATGATCGCGAGATTTTCGGGATTTGTGCTTTGCACTGGTGGCCATAATAAAAACTCTTTTATTGACCAGTGATGGCTATATTCCTTTTTTATTTAATAATTAATATTTTTTTTATAAATATCTAGCTCATTATACATATAACACCGTGCGTTAGTCAATTTTAACACATAAAAAATCAATATATTCGCGACACCATCGGCCAAACATAATTTAAAAAATTCAGTGAAATGTGCTTGGAGAAAAAGTATGGATATCAAATTAAAGAGAAAATTCTGTAGAATTTAAATAGATTCAATTTTTTGGTGCATAAGGGTGGGTGAGTAACTTTTTAAAATTTTATTCTTGAATATCCTTGAAATTTTGCAATATTCATTTATAAAAAATTTATATGTTAAGGACTTATATAAACTCCATAACATCCTGGAATTTCGTCCTTCTACCTATATCAGCTTAAAAAATTACCTATTTGTCCTTTTGAATCTAAAAGATTTTAATTCCTTAAATTCTAAAGAAATTTCCTCTTTCATTTGGTACTCATATTTTTATTCTACATTGCACTGAATTTTTTAATACATTTTTGGAACTAATGATACCTTTGAAATTACAAAGTTCTTTAAAATGAATTCTGAAACTCGAAACAACAACAGAAAAACAATTTTTTAATCAAAACTAAAAAAAATGGTGTGTTCTAGTAGAATGAATAAATAAATATATACATATATACATATGTTATCTTGTATTATTTTATTGAAAGGCTCTTAGCTTTCGAAAGAGGAAATAAAAACCCGCTCATTTTTGGCACTTTTATAAGTAATGCGTTTTTTGGTAATGCATGAAATCATTTTTTTTTTGTCAGTGCCATCAGATCTACACGATTCCTTCTATTTTCAAAAATGATGTGCCAGATTAAAAGGCTTGACCTGTAGACAATATAGGTAAATTTTTTTATTTAAGAGTTGCCACCTGTTAAAAAATTAGATAATTTTTTTTAAATAAGTTAACTGAGTTATCAAGGGATGAATGCATGAAAAGGGTTTACATATTTCTTAACTACATGTAGAGGATTGAAATAGAAAGGTATCACCATATGGAAGTCAGACCAAAGATGTTTAAGAAAGTTTTAGCTTGCAAATATTGTGAAGAGGGTTGCCACCTTTGTGTAAAGTCAAATTTAGTTAAACTAAAATAATAATTGTGTCAATCCAAAGGTTTACGACATCGTATTTGTTTTTTTTTTTTATTACAATCAATCATTACATTGTCAATCAGTGATTTGTTCTGATTACATTCCTTTTCAATTACTGGGCCCTTAAATTAACTCAGGTATATTTTCGCTCTTCACTTATTTCTTGCTTAATATGTCCAATTTTTTCACACACATTTCAGTTACATTATTCCTTTAATTAAAGTGAATTTGATTTTTTAAACATGTGGCAACCCTCTTACGTGACACCTCACTTTTGAAAAAAGAACGAACTATAGAAGTGTACTCGTATCCAAAACTATCAAAAGTTTTAGAAAACTTTTACTTGTTTTGCGTTCTCGTACCCAAAAAACTTGCAAAGTAGGGGAAATTGGGAGAGCAAATTCGAGAATTGAAAATTGTGATAGAGAGCTGCAAATTTCTGCTCGAAAATTTTTACCTTTTTGAGTTAAAGTAAATTTATTAAGGACAACGTTTGCTGGTTTATTTTTCGTCAATTTACTATACATCTCCAGTTTGTTTACTTTAGTGTGTGCTAACTATGATTACCGTATGCCATTTTTCATTTGTACCATAATTTTCCAATAAATATACAAAAATAGATTAAAATGCAGCATGCTGAAATGTTTTTGGCTGAAGTTGCCGGTTTTGGTAGCTTGATTGTTGAAATGAAAAAGTTATATTTTTAAAACTAATTTGTATTTTAAAAAGGTTTTTCTTATCCATAACTATTCCATTGTATAAAATGCCAAATCGGAGGAAAATATACCAAGCAGAAAATAAATTACCAAATGAATCACTTGTGGCAACTCTGGTAGTGATCAGCTGTTTCGAAGGTTGCAAGTTTTTGCAAATTTTGCGTTCTCGTACTTCTGTGGATATTTTGTCCCTTTGACCGCTCAATACGAGTACACACTTTATATGTACATACCTATGTAAATGCTACCAGAGCCCAAATTTTCAACTTCAAATTGCATTTAAAGTGAAAGTATGAAAGTTATCCAAAAGCAAATTGCATTTTTGAATTTAGCGTCCTCAATTTTACTACGATGCAAATTTTCATTTAAATCCGTCCATAATTCTATTTTTGACCACATTTCATAAGGAAGGGAGAAAAACTAAAAACGGAGCTTTACCATATTTGGCCCATGGATTCGCGAATATATTTATTTTTTGGGTGCAAATTTGACACTTGCACGGTGTTATATGTACATACATATAATGAGGTAGACATTTATAAAAAAAATTTAAACATTAAATGAACAAAAAAAATATAGACAAAACTGGTCGAAATAAGGCGTTTCTTTTATTTCTACCACTAGTATACATATATATATGAAATTCTTTCAACCACAAAATATATTTCTTGATTTAAATTTTTTCGCCTCGAGCTTTGTTTTTTATACTTATAAAATAATTTTCACTTTAAATAAAAAAGTAAGTTTCAAACCCATTTATTTTATTGGAGGGAGAGCTTCTCAAACAATATTGAAGAATTTTTTACAATTTAAGTTGTTGAAAAATAATAATAATCTAAATCCAGGGACTAATCCCCGCATTTCGGGATTGTGATAACGAGATCACGAAAATCGCGGGATCGTCAAAAGCGAAAAATAACATCCCTATTACATACGTATATGTAAATATGTATGTATTTCATTCAGTATTATTAGTGCATGCTATTAATTTTGCTCTTCTTTCCAGTGGCCGTTGTCATATGCTTCTTCTTGTGTTGGGCACCGTTTCATGCACAAAGGCTCATCGCCGTTTACGGCACGGCTGTAATGGGTGGCAGCAGTGAGAGTGGAGCTGGTGGCGCGGGTTCTGCCGACGATAAGAATCATCATGTGGTGATATACACCGTTATGACATATGTCTCTGGTGTACTTTATTACTTGTCGACATGCATCAACCCGCTATTGTACAACCTGATGAGCAACAAGTTTCGGCAGGCTTTCAAGGTGAGTAAGTTAATCGGCTCTGTTTACTATGGGTGTATTCTCAGAGTCTTGCCAAGCCTTTGCACGTTACAGGGATTGCAGGGTTTGCAAAGCTGTCCCATACGAAAACCGGTTTTTGCGGTGCAATACGTGCAATCTGTGCACCATGTAAAGGCTTTGCAAGACTCAGAGAATGCCCCTTATGTACTATACATATGTACATATGTGTGTATATTCACTTGGCCATTGATTGCTTAATATCTACATACACATTTGTTTGCTTATAAACACGCATAGATATGTGCATATATATGTATATACATGCATGTACTAATTGTTTTACTTATATCATTTAGTCGATATTGTTTCGAAAGAAATCCACTGGTTCTCTCAATTATCGACGAGCTCAACAATCGCAAAATTTACGTCGAAATCCTACGCTCACTTCGAGTACGCAGCGGGAATCCAGCGATTCGGAGACACAATTGAAACACTCGGTGTTACAGGTGAGGTTTTTCTTGTAATTTTATATTTAGGTACGCTTATGGAACTTACAATTTTCTAATTAGCGTTGTGTTTTAAAAAAATTATGTTTCATCTAATTTTAATTTTTGTAGGCTGTATTGGATGAGCGCAAATCAAAAAACCAAGTTTTGCCATAGAACGAGTAGTACAAAGATGGGTCTGGACTAGGAAAGGTAATCCCGGTATTTTTTAACTCCCGAAATTTACACTGGTGGCAATAATAGAAATGCCTTATGTTGACCGGTTTTGACTATATTTCCTTTTGTATATTTAATATCTTTTTTTATAAGTGTGTAGCTCAATAATAATACCTTTCACCAGGCAATTTTACACACAAAAAAAAAAAAACAAATCAATATATTCGCGAAGCCAAGGGCCAATAGACTAAAATTGCGTTCTTAATTTTTCTCTCTGACGTCAGGATTTTTATGAGTACTTCAAAAAATGATTTAAAAAATTCAGTGCAATGTTCTTAAAGAACCAGTATGGGTATCAAATTAAAGAGAAGATTCTGTAAAGTTAAAACAGATCACCATTTTTTCGTGCGTAAGGGATGAGTGCCGAGAAAATGCCCTTTTATAATTTTATCCTTGAATATCCTTGAAATATAAGATCTTGTACCCTATGCTTAGAACGTCGATCCTGACTCTGTTAGATCGCCTTTTTTGTGGACTGGGGAAAGCACATTTAAAGTACAGTTGGCAGGCATACGTTTATCTGACCATATTTTGCGAAAATTTTATGCATGAACATTATTAAATCCACGCCGCCACGTTAAATAGCTTAGAACAAAGGTATTCAGCTCGGGCAATTTCTTTTGTTTTTCAGCCGGGAAATTGATATTCATACCCGGTGGGGTGTTCGGCAATCAGTTCTGGTTCTTTAAACGCAGGTTTGTAAATTACTCGATCTGGCCTACAATCAATGATTGCCGAACTCCTCCACATACATAGTTCGCTCATTTCTCTTGACTTGCGCATACTAAGTGTAATTATTGTACTTCAATTATACCAGTAATTTGGGTTTTAATTGATTAGTATTTAGATGTACAATAAATATGTATATTGGCCCATAGTTATAGTATAAAGTAATTGCAGCATTTTGACATCATTTTCAATGGGATATCTGTCAAAAAACTCGACATTATTAGTGTACAGTTGCAAACTGCCTATTTAAGATGTACCGTAAGACAGTCCCATTTCCTGAACAACATGAAAAAATAAAACAAAAGAAAGTGTTTGAAGTGAAACTTCTTTACCGGTGGTTGTTTTGGTTGGGAGTAAATTGACAAATTCAACGGAAATTGCACACGGAAATGGTGCAACGGAAATGGTTGGGACTGAAACAATTGCTTCTTGACTGTATGTATGTACATGGTAATAGTTAAAAAAAAACTTTCTAATAAAAGGTTAAAGAATAACACTTAGAAAAAGACATATACAAGAATGAAAGTAAAGATTTTGTTATCGATTTTGTAATCGATATTTTTAACGATTTTGTTATCGATATTTTTATCGATACTGATATCGATTTTGCTATAAATTTTGCTTTCGATATTTTTTATAGAATTTATTATCTATAGTTTTGTCGATTTTGTTATCGATATTGTTATCGATTTTATTATTGACCTTTTTATCGATTTTATTATCGATATTTTTACAGATTTTGTTATCGATATTTTAATCGATTTTTTATTCGGCTTTTTATCGATATTTTTGTCGAATTTTTTATCGACATTTTAGTGGATTTTGGTTTGTTATCGATAGAGTATAAAGATAAAAATTACGATAAAGGAAAAACGATAGATAAAAGTCTTAAATAGTCCCAACTTGGCATGCAACTGAACTAAATATTAAAGACCCACGGGGTTTATGGATGCAGTTTTCATAGCACAATTCCAAGAATTTGTAATCAAACTAACAACCGGTTTAGGATCGCATCTACCTAAATAGTACATACTGCAATACACGTGCTTACTAGCCTACTGGAATTTTCAGTTCACCGGCATTGCGATTAATGTTTCCTGTAAACTCAACAGCTTTTTGCTTAAACAATGCCAATTTCTTTAATCGAGTCAATTGTTATTAGCACTTTAACTCTCGTGCATGGATAATGGAAGTAACAATTAATTGATGGAACAAAAAAATAATAATTGCAAAAAGTATTAATATGCATTGACTTGTTTTCAATGTATACTTACTTACATATATTCCAATGGTGGGTAAATGCTGCTATTCGAGCGGAGTGCGGCTCTTTGCGTAGAAAAGCGCGCATATTTTTACTTTATTTGTACTCTGAGCAGTGTGTTTCTTTTTAATTATTTATTGTTGGAGATATTACCCACATGGAGAGACAGAACTGTTTAGGCAACCAACAACACCTAGTGCCTAAAAGTATAATACATCCGCAATCAACTGGTTCCATATCGGAAACAAAGCACATACATACATGCAGGTATAAAAATCTGTTCGAAAACGCATGTGTAAAAATTTCATACACATAATAAATTATGCACATGCACTTCTCAAGTGTAAAATAACAAAACTTGCTAAAGTAATAAGTAGACTGCGGATGTTTGTGCAGGAAAGGAAGCCTAAAAATATGTACCATATAACTATAAGCAAAATATAAAAAAATGTATGGCTTATAGTTAAGTAGAACATATTTTTAGGATTCATTTTCTGCATAAAAATCAGCAGTCTAGTAATAAGTTAGTGGCATCCCAAATTATGCTCAACCAGCTCCATGCGTCACCCAAAAATTTTTTAATTGCATAAAATCTCAAATATCTTGATTCCACTTAGATAAAAGGCTGGCTTTGAACTCGCACATAGAAAAAATTCAAAGTAAAGCTACACGAGCCATGTGGGCCCGTAGAAGACTGTGTAGTTGCATATGTGTGGATATACGATATGATTGCGTCCGGCTCCCTGGTTTGAGGCCTAAGAGCATTACAAAAAAAAAAACATTTATATGAACTTGAAAGATTTACTCGGTACGAAGTTACATAATTAATTAGAATAATTTGTCCAAACGCGGCTTTGCAGTCGCTTCGAGGATGGATTCCGCTCTGTACATATTTTCGTTGAAGTAGGAGTAGGAGCTTCGACAGCCTAATAACAAGCGTCAGTCAGATATTTAGGAAAAATCCATGGTGCACTTTTAGACTGTATTGTGAGATAATTGAAGGCAAGACTCTCAGAATGGTGAATCTGAACAAAAGGGGCTACCTCACCTCGATCCCAGATATGTTAATACTCAGACGGCTCAAGTATGGCAGAAAGAACAGGTGAGGATTTTTATGTATCCCGCCTTAAACTTTACCAGAGTTTTGCTGAAGTGTCAACAATGCCGGCATGTACCAGAGCAAACCTTGAAAATTAGTTGAAAGGCGCTTTCTTAGTTATCTGTTCACGACGTCAAGCACACACCACTTGTCCAATAGGACGATCACATCCAAACTCTTGACAGCAAGAAAGACGATAACACTTTGCTGGAAGCAGGGTAATGCGGTTTCGAAGGGAACCGATGAAATGGCGCGATAAGGCTCAGCATCTGCTCTCGTGGGACCAAAACCATTTTGGGGGCTCAGTTGTTCTTTTTTGAGACTTACTGAGTGGTTAAACTCATAATTCAGTAAGTACTGGTGACCAAAAGGGAGCATTTGATAGAACATGCCCTTTGGTTATCCTTTCGATAGACAGAACAATTATTTTCGGATTGCTACTATTCTCCAGTGCTTTTTTCCATTTTTGAGCTCTATAAGTGTTGTTGGTCATTTGACTCTCCGATACATACCGTAAATGACGTTCACCTACCTCTCCTCCACTACATGTTAGGTTGGAGTAGAATAATGCCTAATTATTTAACCTCGGGTGAACTATTTAAATTAGCCCCATCCCATTCATTTTTTGCATTGGGAGGTTAGGTATCTATATTTGCCTGGCAAATAAGATCAGTAAGCTATATTTAGAAGCTTATATTATCTTCCGACTTAGAAATATTACTCACTGCCAATTTTAACACCTTGCTTATTGTTGGTTAGAACTTACCGCGAATTAAGATAACCAAGTTATCCAAGTAGGGATGGGCAATCTTGCTGATAATAAGAACCGCATTTAGGTTTTCTGAATGGTATAAAAAGTAACAAAAGAGACAAAACTGGAGTAAAGTTTAGGATTTGAAGGTTGCATTCTGATTAAATGAAAAATCTTACAGGATCAACCCCCGGTGCTATTATTATGAAATACTCTGTTCCGATTCCAAACTGCATCTGAGTGTATAGAAAAGGTAACATTAGAGAAATGTGTGCAGTCGCCTCGTTATCTTCAAAGCACATTCGGCATTCCGTCTTTGTGGACAGCTCAAGTCGATGCAGCCGATCCGGCCCCACTAGATCCTTATTTAGCTAGTTCGTCGGCGATATCTTTTCCCACCATACCATAGTTCTCTGGACAGTATTACCTTGTTCTCTGCTGAACACTACTTTGCGAGCTTGCAAGTGATCATCCTATTGGAGAGGGTCAAGGTGAAAGTTTGGCTGTCTAAACGTCTTTCAAACGCTTTGTTAGGTTTATTCTGTCCTCCGTAAGAATTTATTATGTCTTTGCCGGAAAAACTAAGGGTCAAATGGCAACTGCGATGAAAAGTTTGGGTGTTGCGACTATCAAAAAACCCGCACCTGTGCCTGTAAAGACTTTTGAGCGTTTTTTAAACAAACAAAAAATAATTTCAAGCAATTTTGTTGGAAAAACAATATTATGTAATTTTAATTATTTAATTACGTGAAGGATATCTTGTCAATGAATTTAATTGGAAATTTCAAGAAGTTTTCCTTCGACACAGTACTCGTATCAGTATAAATTGCAACTAGTTACTACGCACATAGTATATACAATTAACCGTATAATAATTTGTATCGATATCATTGCAGGCTATTGACTTTGGACGCTCACGAGCAAACACGTGTGGATGACAACTTTCAAAGAAAAACGTATAGGAAATCTAATGTTTCTATACAAGCGAGTTACTTAAAACTGAATACTTATTTAATTATTGAACTCAACAAACTAATAGATTAAGTACATATATTCGTATGGATGTATGAAAAAAAATTATTGTAAACAACTGAATATATAAAACCGTAGTATGTAATTTAATTCATATTTGCAGTAAAATATTTATTTACGTTCATTTGTATGCAATTAAGTTTGTGCATATGTACATATGTATGTATGTATGTTGAGATATTATACACCTCAGCGCTAAACCAATGATGAAACATTGTAAAATAACACTAATAAAGAGGGTGAAAATAAGAAAAAAAATTTTAATGTCAAAAAAATAGAAAGCATTCGCACGCTTAAGTAGCAAAAGAAGTTCTAAAAAAATAAAAAGTCATACATTTGGTAGCAAATTAATCTCTATAGGCCTCAAAAGGAAATTGTTAACTTAAGTGTTTTTCGATTCGTACAATAAACCAGTTTATATAGTATAGCAATAATTGCTACTTAGTCATTAAAGGCGCTACTTAACCTATATGGAAAATATAAAATTGAAATTATTAAATTACTTACTACTTACATATATATTTTAATCGATTATGTGTAGTGGAGTTCAATGGGGTTACCAACTAAGCTGCTAATTGCAAAAAAAAAAAAAACGTGATCGTAGGAAAATTATAAATAAACACCAATTATTTAACCCATTGAGAGTTTGGTAACCAAATGTTGCAATAAGTTTTAAGCAGGGTATAATATGTACGGGACACGAAATATACTCCTAAACTTCTCTATACTAATTGTGTAAAGAGAAGTTCCTTTTTTTGTAAGAGGTAATCGCACAAACGGCATGCCCCATTTTCATGAAATTTTTATATAAATAGCTTTCAGCAACCACCTTGGCATTGTAAATAGGCCAGGGATCGATCTCTTCAAAAAAAAAAAAAAATCCTTCGATTTTCTTGAAATTCGGTAAATGTATTTTTAAAAGGGTTAAGTGAAAACTTCGAGACGCTAGCAAAACGCGTTGGTTTTTAATAATTGTGTTGTGCAATTACTTTTAAATGGAAAAAAATGGGTAGCACCGTCAACAAAAAAAAACTTAAAAATCAACTCGATTTTCTAGCGTCTGAAAATTTGCACTTTAACCTACTAAAATTTAAGTTTGAAAAGTGGATTTATTTGATGCTGGTTATCTAATATGCTAGACTTTTATAAAAAAAATATAAACATTTAATAAACAAAAGCAAAATAGTAAAAACTGTTCAAAATGTCAATTAACTTAATCAGCTCACCACAAGGGTACATATGTCAATCCATAAATATACATACATACATTTATATATGGAACACTAACCCAATATCAAAAACTAAAAACCAAAAAAGGTTTTTGTTTTCCAATAGCGGTCGCCTTCGGCAGGCAATGGCAAACCTTCGAGTGTATTTCTGCCATGAAAGAGAGCTTCTCATAAAAATGCAATCGCCCTTCGGAGTCGGACGGTTAAACAAGTTCTTTATTGTAAGCGGAAGCGGAGCTCGGAGCGAAAGAAAATACCAGAGCGGAGCTAGAGTGGAGCGATGAAAAAAACCTTTCCTCCGAAGCCCTGATAATCGCACCATAAAGTTAAATATTCTACAAATATAATCTTAACACAAACCAACAAAAACAATAACTACATGATTGAGTGTAAATAGCAACAAAATCGTTGCTCTTGATTGTAGTCGATTTGGCCAAATGAAAGCGTGGGAAAAACAACAACAGTATACATGGCGAACTAAGCTCAGGGATTAAGGCCAATTGCGAGTTTAAATAAAGAGGTCTGTTGAGGATATGCTTTGAGCTATAACTTCTACCGCATGTAAATTTGTTGTTTTTCCACAACATTTTTCATTAGACACGGCCTGAAGCTCAATAAAATTGATGAATATAATTGTTATACCAAAAAAAAAGACAAAAAAGGGTAAACATTTGGCCGCCAGGTGTCGCTGGGGTCGAGTTATTACTAAAAATCGTATTTATGATCCGATTTGGTTCATATTCGAGATATGTATTGCTACAAAAATGAGCTGCGAAGTGGTGCTGGAGTCCAGTTGTTACTAAAAGTCGTCAAGTGAGAAAAAGTGCAGCGAATGTCCGATTACATCGACTTGCTGGACTACTGAGAAAGTCAGACTTCCGTGTGCTCCGATTGGTCCAATGACTGTGATATGCCAATATTACAGTTTCATGTGGACACACCAGGATTAAATTGTGCAGGGGTCAATCACAAATAGCCACCCTTAAATGAATGAGTGCTTATTAGAGTAGAGCGAAAAAATCTATTTTTACGTTTCGAAAGGCCCGCTTAAAAAAATGCTAAAAATCAACGCAATTTTTAAGAAAATCGAAACTTTCACTTTATTGTACTCAAAATTAATGGGCTACAAAGCGGCATACCGAAACTCTTTCTAAAAAAGATTTTTTTAGAAAGCATAAAATAACTATAATTTTTGGAGATTTCTCGAAAATTTACGGCTCTTGGGGTGACCATAAATGTCATACGATCGCAAAACAGTTTAACACGATTCAATGTGATCATCATAAGCAACTTTTCCGCTCCACTGTGCGGTCGACTTGCTATAAGGCGAAAACTTGGTCAGACCGATGGCTTGTCTTCGAGTAGGGGACGAACCCAGGGCTGGGTTGTAAGGTCCGGACACTCTAACGCTCGGGCGAGTTTCAAATTATAAATCGGATAGTCACGAGTGGGAATTGGCTCTCGGATCTCAGACACATTGCATCTCAAGTTAGTGATGATTTTATATGCTCTGCACCAAAGCGAAATTAAGCCAGTGAGAGCACTCCCGTCTTTGGCTATGCCGAACGCTGCATACCTTTTATGGACACCAAAAAATTTTACTTGAAGCTAGTTGCTTGTGAGCTAAAGCATTTTTTAATATTCATAGAATATAAATACATATATGTAGATATGTTATAGTGGTCCGATTCCGGTTCCTACAAATGATTAACACGTTATGAAAATACACTCACTTACCAAATTTCAGTCTGATATCTCTATATAGACTAGATTGCATACAAACAGACGGATAGACGGATAAGACATACAGACAGACAGACAGCTCGACGTTCTGATCATATAATTATACATTTTCATGGGTCTATCTCTTCTTATTCTGGTACATACAAATATCAGACCAAAGTTATAATACAATTTCATGCTCATGAAAGTTTAAAAAAAAAAACGGACTGACCATACGGAGTAGTTTCAGAACTCGATTTTTGGATTACGTCTGCCTTTCGTGACATTTTGGATACGATTTTTCCGCCTTGGCCACCACTTAGGCGTAATCCTCTTCCCTGTTGGAATAAGCAGTTTCATAAGTTGGGGAATGATTCGTGGAATAGAAATGCTACCGCTGCACACAAATAGTGGTACGAGAAGCAAATTCTTGCAGCGGGTTTGATACTTTGAGTCAAACAACTAGGCTCGTAGATATCGTTAAACAAATCAAATCACTAAAGCTGGGTTCAATCAAGGTGCATCAATATTATTTCGCTTTAGTCTGTTTTGGTTTATATAAAGATGGACATACTTAATCCTTAAACCACTGATATCGAAATGTAATGTCCTTTGTTACGGGAATTTAGGTTTCAGAATTTTTTTTCCTGATTCGAGAAATTTGATCATTATTCTGCAATACCTTTTTTGATCCGTTGGTAGTCATCAATGAGCGATAAATATTTCTTCATCTGCTTAAATTTGCTTATTTTATGTGGAACTCTAGGTAATTAATATTGGGTCGTAGATTACGGATCTGCACACCATTTTTCTGGATTAGGCAATTTTCCCTAGATATTTTCATTTTAAGTTCGCATCGCAAACGAAAAAAATTCAAACTTTATCATGGAAGATGTTCTCATACGCCATGTACGAGTACTGCCACGGGCGATATGGCATATGAGTAACATTAAATCCAGCTCCGATGTCATAATAGTGATCTTCATCAAAAGTGATAAACTCTTGATAAATGAACTGTCAAACTTTGTATGGAAATCTATTTCACCAAAGTTTATCACTCATATCAAACGCATCAATTTCAGCAAAATTCCACTCTGGCAAGTTGCTAGGTGGTAGATTTTGCTAGGTGGTAGAATTTGCATAATGGACGAGGTAAGAATGAAACGTAACTAGCCAGATAAAGTAAATAATAAACAATTTTGTACAAATGTTTACCAAGGTGCGTTCATGAAAGGAAGCGGATAAAATGAAATAAATAAATAAATAAATTTAAGCAGTTTATCCCTTTTTTACTTTATATGAAGACCCCTAATAAAAATTACTGTAACTTTTAATTTGACCATTCACAAAGTGTTTATGTATTTATCCATCGATTTTCATCGTTACTAGGAAGTTCTCTGATACGACACACCCGCTAACTTAAAGCTTATGAACTTTTGAGTGGGCAAAGTTGAAGGCCATCTGTGATGTGAAGTTGTCAAATAGTTTACATTGCGACTGCCAGTTAAAGTTAACCATTAGCTTTGGGTGCCCTCCAAGCTCGTTGCTGTCGATAAAACAGACCGGCCATCGAATTTTAACAGGCAGTCGTAAAAACGGCCCTCACGCTGTTAAGTGAGCAGCTGTTAAAGTGTACACGAGCTTTTTCAGCGCTGCCAAGACCGACGCAGGAAGCGGGGTTTTGACGTTTGCGCGCTTATACGTACATATGTACAGGGTGGTCACTATAGTGGTTTCTTTTTAAAAAAATCAAAAAAATGTACAAAAATATATTTTTTCAGAATATTAATGGTTTATTATTTATGGAACACGATTTCTTTAATGCAGCTGCTTCGGTTGGTTTTGCCTTGACGCATCTCTTGCAGTTTTCCCAGATCTGCGTGATGGTTTTAGGCTCTATCTGACGGATGGTTTTGCTCAACATTCGCCTGAAGGGCCTGCATCGTTATGGTTTGTTCGCGTAACATCGGTTCTTTGCGGTACCCCGACAAAAAAGTCTAACGGCGTCAAAGAGCAGCTCTGATGCGGTCAATTGACATTGTCGAGACGGCGAGAAAGATCGATTGTGGCATGGGCCGCCAGGTGTGTCTAGGGTGTGCATAGCGCGCCATCCAGCTAAAATCAAAGGTCGTCCAAGTATTCAATTTCCGGCCACAAAAATTCGTTTATCATGCGTCTAGCGAAATGGGCCAACGAAGCCAATGCTTCCAAATTCGAAAATCATTCTCGGAGGTTTAGATATCATACTGACTTTATCTAAAGGTTTTCAGCAGGAAAAAGCTGTCACCGCTATATGTACCATCCGATATATATATGTAGATATGTATAGATATACATTAGAGTGGTCCACAAATACATGCGGGAACAAAAAGTTTAAAATCTTAAGTTCTTACACCCTAAAAATTTTCTAAATGGAAAAAAGAACACTCGTATTTTTTGTTATAAAAATTATATTTAGAATTAGGTATTGAAGTTTCCTGAAGAAAAACAGAGTTTTCTGATCTAAAAGTATTGACTATTGAGAATTCTATACCATTCTATGAAAAAAGTACTTTTCCAAATATAAAATACATGGATACCTTCATGGGCCTTGAGACAGTTCTAAATATAATTCTTTTAAACAAGAAATTTAGGTATTATTTTTTCCATTTACAAAATCCTAGGGGTGAGAGTTTAATATTTCAAACTTTTTTGGACCGCTATAATATGCATATGTAAGTATTACCGAGTAAGGTAAGTAGAATGCATAGCAGTCTCTCGGAATAGTTCGGCACTCGGAAATAACTTAGCCGCCGCCAGATATTGTAACTTACAACGTAAGGCGTCATCGGAGTTGTTCATTTTGTGCTTTACTAATAGATCACATTGGTTATGATGACAATTTTCGTACTTCAAGCTGAAAGAAAACATGGATTACTTCCTAAAGAGCTTACATATTTTCTGAGTGGGTTTACATACATACGTATAGGGACCAGTTATTAAGTCATACTTTTTTGAAGTGAAACTTCTTTAGCGGCGGTTGGTTGGTTGGGAGTAAATTGGAAAATTCAACGGAAATTGTGCAACGGAAATGATATCCTGAGTGTATGCACATGGTATTAATTTAATAAAAATTTGCTTATAAAAGCTTAAAGAATAACAATTAGGAAAAGACCAATATAAGGGCAAAGGTGAAAGGGAATATGTAGATGAAAAAATGATAAATATAAAAGTAAAAACAAGGATAAATATAAAGAAAATGAAGAGGATGAGGATACCTATAAAAGTATAGATGAAGATAGAGGAAGAAAGATTAAAATAAAAGTATTTATAAAGAAAATGATATAGATGGAGACTCTGAAGCTCAATCTGGGAACTATTTGGGAATTTTAGGGATTTTCGGAATTCTCGGGACTCATCGATATAATTATCGACATTTTTATCGGTTTAGTTATGGATATTGTTATCGAATATTTATCGATTTTGTTATCGACTTTGCTATCGATTTTGTTATCCGTCTTGTTATTGATATTTTTATTGATTTTGTTATCGATATTTTTATCGATTTTCTAATCGATTTTTGCTTCCGATTTTTTTCCATTATTTATCGATTTTGTTGTCATATTTTTATCAATTTTCTAATCGATTTTTTCGTCCAATATTATCGATACTTTTATCGATATCTTTATCGAATTTGCTACTAATATTAATAGCGACTTGGCTATCGAAATTGGCGTCGATTTTGTTGTCAATATTTTATCCATTTTGTTATCGATTATTTATCGTTTTGTTATCGAATTTGTTACCGATTTTGTTATCAAGTTTTATATCAATTTTTTCAGCGATTGTGTTATCTATTATTTATTGGGCTTGTTTTGGATTATTTATCGATTTGTTTAATGATTATTTATCGATTTTGTTATCGATGTTGTTGTCGATTATTTATCGATTTTGTTATCGGTATTTTTGTCGATTTTGTTATCGATATTTTTATCGATTTTCTAATTGATTTTGCTACTAATATTATTATCGATTTTGCTATCGAAATTTTTATCGGTTTTGGTATCGATAGTTTGTTGGATGTTACTACCGATTTTGTTATCGATAGACTATAAAGATAAAAATGAAGATAAAGGAAAACAGAATAAAGTAAATATAATTAGAACGAACAGTGGTAGAGATATAACCTTAAGCAAAAGCAGGGGTATGTATATATGTGTGTACATATGTATGCATATTGGTTATGTAACGTTAGTTTCACTTCTCCAATGTGACCCAAACGCACTTACTTTTTTCCATTAGTTTCTAATAGACATATGGCTGGTTTCTCCAACTTAATTTCACCATCTAGGCTAATCCAAAAATTAGCCTACGCTTTAATAAGCTTATTCTTGACTAAGTTCTAAAAATGGCTACACTAAGTTGAGTTGGAGAAACCATCCTATATTGTTTGGATATAAGCAATCATGTCTTTTTTACCACTACAACATTAATTCATGGAGTGTTATTTATCATTTTGATCTATGGACAGCAAAACAAGTTTTACAACTGAGTATTTGAAATTTCGAAATATCAATGAATGGGCGTGAAGTTACAAACAAAAGTCATACCTTACTTGCTGTCTCCATAGGCAAAAGTTTCTATCTTGATAATGTTATCAGGCAAAATTTTGCCAATAGAAACAGCAATAGTTATCAGAGCTCTTGATAAATATTGCCAGCAATTTGTTACTTTGGCATTTGCTGCATTTACTACTTACTACTTTTCATTTGCGCGATAACTTCGTGGCGGCAATGTTATTGATATTTTAATATAAAAGCAAAAATTTTGCTATTTTATTTTAAAATATTTGCAATTATGTACTTGAATGTGAAATTTTATAAATTTTTTAAGTGATTAAATCCGGCAAAAATAGCCATCTTACAACTCTTTTTATCAAAATTAAAAATACCCACGCACAAATTTTGCCTCTAATAAAATGTATATCAGGCAATAAAAATGACAGTTGGTAGGCAAAAACTTTTACCTGTAGAGACGGGCCGTTGAGTTAGACTCAACATCAACTTTTCCTTATCAATGTGGTGAGCATCTGAATTTATTAAACTATTATTCATGGGAGTCGTGTACGTGCATGTGTGTCCCGTAGAAACAATTTTCATTAAAATTCATTATACTTGATTGAAATAAATGTATTATTAAAACTTTTGCTGTTTTAATTGACAATGAAATTAGTGCAATCAAACGTAAATAATTTTTTGCTGAAATTTAATAATTAAGTAAGTATGCGTAGTAAGTATGCGTAACTAAAATTCATGATAGACTAGAGCTTTTCCGTACAAACAGGCGATTTATTTTTTATTTTTCGAGCATACGCGAATAGTTAAGGAGAAAAGTTTCTGTCTGTGGTTAGTACTTTCCCATACAAACGTAATGTAATAGATACTTTGTTTTGTAACTTTTTACTTTTACTTAATTAAAACCATAAACTGAAACAAATGACTATGTACTAACGTTTAATTACCTTTGTCTACATATATCATTATTTTCAAAAATATTCGTATTTTTGTCACGCGAGGTTGCGTTTTTAAATAAAAAAATCGACTTCAGCGACGAGTTACTACATAGTACATAATATACCCTGGCTGTCAGCTGATTAAGTGACATTTTGACCTGGACTGACTATTTTTCTTATGTTTATTTAATGTTCATATTATTTTCTTTATAAAACCTCTAGCTCATTATGTTTATAATAACCACCCTGTATATCCACGTTTCAAACTTTGTACAAAAATTCAACAAACCTTACCAATTACACCCAAAAATTTCAAATTTTTGTACCGAGTTTTTAGTAAAATTTTAGGTTTCAGTTTTATGGCTCATTCAAATTTATTAGGATAAAATGTAAATTTCAAATCGCTAGAAATTCGCGTTGATTTTTTAGTATTTTTTTCTTCCATTTAAAGGAATTTTCGAGCATACTTTAGCAAGCACTTTGTTCTACTAAAATCGGGCTATAAAACTGCATTGGTGAAATTTTTCTGAAAATTCTGAAAAAAGTTTCAAATTTCGAATTGGTAAAGTTTTTTAAGTTTTTATAATTTTTGAACAAAGTTTAAAATTTGGATTTACATATATAGTCCTGGTTACATGTATAATGGTCTAGACTTTCATAACAAAAAAAATAAGAAACATTAAATAAACGAAAGAAAAATAGCCAAAACTGGTCAAGATGTCATTTAACTCAATCAGCTGACCACAAGTGTATGTATTTCCAAATAAAATGAAATAAATTTTTTTCACCTAGTTAATGCTCATGCAATAGTAGAATGTATGTATTATATTTTGCAAATTGTCAGTGAATTTATAAATATACATAAATAAATATATGTAAGTACATGTGTATGTTTTGCAAATAATATTATAATATTTGTTAGTGCATTCAAACAGTGTCTAATAGTAATAATTTAAATCAATTCTCTTGTTCGTTCATTAATGGCTGCCTCTTAATTAAGCAGGCCGTCTGGTTGACCTTGCCAACTAACTACGCGTTCGCCAGCGTGCAGACAGCAACCAACTAACCGGTCACAGCTGACGCGAATCTATATTTTCACTTTCATCGACACTAACTTTCATAAATATTCAAATTTTAATTTATGCACTACTTTGGTACAGGTTGTGCGTTTAAATACATACATACATATATAGTATATATGCAAACGTGCACAATTGTTTATAAATATCTGTGTATGTATGTCTGGTTGTAAACGAGATTGTGAACATTAAAAGTTGCATAACATCTTGATTTGTTTCATACAACAAACAAAAAAAAAACGAAAAACAGGAAACTAACAATTCATAAAAATTTCATAAAATAAAATTAAATACAGTTAAAGTGCTTTATAAATCTAAAACATGTATGAAAATTTCATTTTATGAAGTTTTTAAAATCTATGTTTTTTTTTTTGGAAACAAGTTTTTTCTACGATCAATATGTACCTTCATATGTATAAGAATTCGTGCTTATTAACTGTATCACAAAATATGCGGTCTGCATTTGATTAAAATCCTAATTGCTTATACAATTCAGGTACATAGTCATCGTATTGGGCCTGGAAGAAATTGCCCGCAACTGGTACGCCTAATCCATATTTCTCAGCAAATTTTTTAGTAGAAAATTTCTCGCGACCATTGGCACTCTTATTTGTTAGACGTGCTTCGTTGAATTCTAATTTCTTTGGTTGTTTGTAGAGCAAGAAAACGTAACGGTGCAGTCCGGTGTCCTTTGGTGCGCCAGAGCCAACATATTCGGTTAAGACTTCACCTTTTCCCAGCTCATTGCCGGGTATGTTGCCCACCAACCAGTGATGCCACTCACGCAGCTCAGGCTTGGCACGACTAGGCGCATCCGGATCGGTCATAATGAGTGTGTAATAAGTATCAGCCGATACTGGTTTCCATTCGACTTTGGGTTGATTTTTCACTTGTGTGGGCGTCAATTCCACACCTTTGTCGGCGAAGACGCCACTGTCGAAGCTCACCTGGGAAAATACAAAAGTGTACATACATACATAAATGGAACATGTACTATATGTATATATATATATATTTTTTTTGGCTTACTTTTAAAAAGTCCTTTGGTCCTTCTCCAATGAGGTCTGGTATTACTTCCAGGTGTTTCATGAATTTGGTAATATCCGAATCCTCAGCATATGCCAGGCATACCACACTCAGGAGCAATACTTGCTGTAGGTTCAACATATTTTACTTCGTCGTTTTCTATTGTACTCTTTGCTGTGGCCGCGTGTGCGTGCACAGTCGCTGCGCTTCTAACTATGAATAACCTGTAGAGATCACTGAAGTTGTTGCGGTTGGGTCAAAGCTATACAGAGCTTCGACGAGCTTTTGTTCGCATTCAGCGACGCTAATGTGCATTTTATTACCTATTCAACTACTAAGTATGTATATATGTATGCAAATCGTTACTTTAATATAGAAATTACCTATCTAACGTTTTTCTTTCTTTGAAAAATAGTTAAACAGTCTAAGAAAACTTAAAGCTTTAGTTGCAAATGTTTTAAAAAATGGGGTTTCACTCAAGTCTTTAACTAATCGTATAGTAATTGTACATATAAGGTATTTAATTGGTGACCTATCGCCTTTTGTTCTCAAAATTGGATTTTGAAAGAAAATAAGTTACGGCCTTTCTAAATTAAGGTAAAAAATTTTGGTTTATGTTCGTTATAAAATATTCCTAATGTTTATTATTTGGCCTAAGTCAAATATGTAATTTGCGTGTGGCTTGAGTGACTTTCAATTAATTATACACTGAGCAGCTATTTGTCGGCGTGGTTTAGAACAAAACAGTTTAAATATGAGACGCATTTTTTGCTGACTCAACAGATATTAATACAAATTGAAAAATCGTTTAAATATTTAATGAGTGGAACAATTGTTATTGTACTATTTGAACATTTGCCACTTTTTTCATTGTACTAGTGATTTCTTCATTTGGTTCCTTTTAGGCGCTCTACCTGCCTAGTCCAACAAAGCACGCCAGCAGTTTCTCCTCTGTGTCAAGTGACGCGAATTGGAAATGTCAAGTTATGTCAAGTCCTTCTTCACCCAATCTTCCTCTGTTACCAGCACCGCGACCCGCGTTGAATAATTTCGTGACTGGAGCGCTTCTGTCCATTCCTAAGACGTGACCAAGCCAGGCCTAAAGCCAAACTAATAAGTTCCAATCAGTTCGCTGACGGTGGGCTACAGTCTATCGATAATACCATGATATAAAAAAAAAAAATTAAAAAAAATCTAAGCGCCTTTCTTGTAGATTTGGCAGTGCACGCCTACAATTCAAGTAGTCGGGCATGCGTTCATCTGACCATATTCTGCATAAGAGTTGATGCATGCACCTTATCAAGGCCTCGCCGCCGTACTTGAATAGCTCGGCTGGCAGGTCATCAGCTCCAGCAGCTTTGTTTGGCACATCGACTGGGGGCTCAGGCTCAAGACTACTTTCAGTGCTGCTGCCATTCAGTAGGCTGAAAAACTGTTTAATTTAAATGCGTTCTGGACATAGGTCGCTAGGTCGCCTTGGTTGTTATTACTGAATTTAACCGTGGTCTTGAAACCTTCTGTAAGTCGTCTTACTTTATGGTAAAATTTTCGGGCACCTTTCCTTCCGGCCAGAATTTCACGCTCTTCGCACTTCCGTTTCAGCCTATCTCTTTTTAGGAGGATGGTTTCGGATGCAGACGACCGCGCATTCCGGTTCACGACGTCCAGTGTTTACACTAAGGATCCTCTAAAGCGAGCTAATTGTGAGAAGGCGAAGTCCTCCCTGTAAAGAAAAAGAGTCATCTTATATATGGTTTTAAAAGACCTACTGCGAAACTTTTAACCTCTAGTGAAATTATAGGTTGACATTGAAATAAATTGCCAAAATTTGCAATAATTCGAAGAGAAAAACCAAACTGAAAGAAGGAAAATGTAATACACTAGACCCCATTGTACATGGGTCAGAACTTCTCAAACGGATCACTAAAAATTTTATTTTAAAATGTACTTTATACTATATACAGTGACTCAAACAAATGACCACGTGTTGTTTTTGTTTTAATATTCGTAATGTTTTTCGAGCTAAATATTTTTTTCTTACTTTACCCCAAAACATATCAATAACATTTTCAAACTTTATACAAAAATTTTGAAAAATTCAAAAAATTTTCATCAAAATTTAAACTGAATTCTCAGAAAATTTTTTGTATGGAGTTTTATAGCCCTTAGAATTCTAATCAAATGAAGTGCAAGTTTCAACCGGCTAAAAAATTGCGATTGATTTTTGAGACTTTTTTTGGAGACTAATTTTTCGTTTGTGTTTATATAAAAAGTGCAATTTACAACTAATTTTATGAAATTTTGTTGCTAATGGTCTCCCGCGTTTTATTTCATAAGACATTCATGCTTTCTTATATGGAAAAAAGTGCGAGAATTCGTCACCAAAAAAAATATCAAAAATCAACGGGATGTTTTAGCCGTTTCAAATTTGCACTTACCCAAAAATGTTTTAAAACTTCAGAGTAAAAAGGTGAAATTTTGATGAAAGCTTGTTGAATTTTCTTAAATTTTGTATAAAGTTTAAAATAGTGATTTATATGGTTAAAGCTTGGACGATATTTTTATAAAAAAATAAGAAAAAAGTTTCGCTGGAAAAACGTTACGAATATTTAAAAAAATCAACACGTGGTCCCTTGTTTGAGTCATTGTATGATGGTATTGGAGACTTTTTTAACTATGCGTGTATAGCATAGGTGGATTCTACGTGTAATTCTAAGAAAATTTGCAGAAGAAACCATGCGTCTAAAATCAATTTGGAGTTTGGCAAATTTTCGAAAATAGGTTTCATGGCATTTTGATGTATTGTGCTTAAATTTGATTGAATTGCTTAAATTTGGTACAAAAACATGCCTCTAATGGAGCTATCTTTTTCTTGAAATTTCCGCGTAGAATCCTCCTATGCTATACGCGCTTAGTAAATAAAAAAGTTGACCCGCTCTAATATACATACATATGTACATATGTGGCGTTCTTGAATTTAAAAAATTTCAAACAACAATTTTTTTTAACGAGTATTGTGCGGGAAATGACTTGCTTTTTAGGCTGTTGTTAAGTTAATAATTTGCATTACGCTAACTATAGCTTCGCTATTTTAAGCTTGAGCCCAGTTAATTGTCAACTACATAAATTATAAATGTATTACATACAGTGTGTGATCCCGGATTCATTCAACCGAAAACATCAAATAACTGAATCAGATTTAGAAAGCAAATATGTGTATATGTGGTTGAGTTACCTTTCATAAAACATAACTGTATAATTATAGAAAGAATTCGGGTAATCATATTTGCTACATATTTGTTAATTTGAAATTTGATTGGTTATTATAGTTAATGGCTTCGCGCAGTGGAACGTCCCCATATAAGCTGCGGTCAAAAATATTTATTAACCGTACTACAAACACAAATGCACTTAGCTATGAAGAAAGGTGGAAAATGGTAACAGTTGACGCACGGCCACGCCCACAACTAATGTGGGCAGAGATGTTAAATGTCATCCGACTTTGATGAAATTCAGACTATATGCTGGTTTTAATCAGCAAGGCACAAATCTGTAAGAACGTTAAACGTTAAAGGCAGTAAATTGAATTGTGGTTTGAAAATATTTTGCAGAGGGTTGCCGCCTTGTTACAAAGTTAGATTCAATATAAGCAGTAGGTTAAATTAATTACTTCAATATGAATATAAATCAAAATTGCTTTGAAGAATCTTTATTTCTAAACTGAATGTAGGAGGGTTGCCATCTGATTTTATAATTAAATTCAATTGCAATTCATATTGATTTGTTAGATTCAATTCATTACAATCAAAATGAATATTTCATGTATCATTTTTAACTTGAATGTGATCTTAATTATATCACGTATTCTACGTTTAAGTTTAGCGGGTGTGGCTCCACCACAGCCTTCAAGTCAAGACGAAGGCGCTGGACTGATCCTTTTTTTTGTCGCATTGGTATAAAATCATCAAAATTAAATAGTTTTTGATTGAATGAGACCATTTCCCTTAAGTAGTCTTCAAAAACTAAAACTATGATGCTTATTTAACTTATAAACTTTACAAAGTGTGGTTTAATAACCGATAAACCTACCTGTTATATACAAAAATTAGTTATTTTATGTTTTCATAACCACATCACGCACGGACAGGGGAAATAGGGTTGCCCGATGTTTTAGATTTAAAAATATTTTTAACGGGGTTGCCACCTTTCTAATAAATACAGCAAATTTAAGCTTATTTAATACCACAATATGGGTATCAAATGGAAAGTTTGTGCACTCCCAGCAAAGGGTTTTGAAAATACATGTTTTAATCCACATATATTTTTGGATAGGGTTGCCACTTATCTATAATAATTTTTTTTGCTATCATGCTACATGCGGTATGTAAAATATGAGTTTCAAACAAATAAAGCTTCAACCCATACATATTTCTGGATAGAGTTGGCACTTATCTAAGAACTTGAAATGAGTGCGATATGTAGTTAAAGTAAAAAATCACAATACTTATTTGTAATATTATTAATAACACTAATAACATTAATTATTTAAAAAAGTAATTTGTGTTTACGTTTATTATATAAAGGAGCTAAATATTTAAAGTTTTTGTAATCTTTACAGCTTTTCTTGCCGGGTATGATTACAAGTTAAAACTTATTAGAAACATACGAGTAACATTAACAATAGTTTAAACAAATTATCTTTGTTTATGCTGAGCGTTTGGATAAGGTTTAACCCACAATCCAATTTTTCCTCAAACTCATACTCTGTCTTCTTGATCAATTTATTTGAGGCAAAAATGGGAAACTCCTATACCACGATTTCTTTCTCAACGAGAAAGTTCTAACATGGCTTAAAATTTAGGCAATTTTATCTATTTTTAAAAACGGAGTAGCCTTTTTTGTAATTCAAGATGGCGGATCCAATATGGTGGATAAACTGAAAAAGAATAAGCAAAGGAAATAAAGCAAAACCCAGATTTTGGTATTACTTCCCATTTAAAAACGAAATAATGTAAATTTTGCGTTATTGCCGTTTGTATTATTTCACCTCCCCCCCCCCTCTAATGTATTCATTTCTACGAACCTAGGTAATGCAAAATTGAATGCCCCACTTTTCTTAGGACATCGCGCTGGGGAAAAAATGCATTTTTGAATGTGAAAAGGATTGTTTTACTGATTATTTTTTCGGTTACTATACATTATATTTTCCCACTGGAAAGTTGTGCCACCTTTGAAGAACGTGTGAGCTATGTTCGATTTAAGAAATTTGTAAAAAATTGGGATTGGATAGGGTTTGGTGTAGCTTCCCAATTATTTCTTCTTGCCGAAAGATGTGCTGTTACCGAACCTTACGTTTCTAAGTATAAATTTAGAGGATGCTCATGATGCTCATATTTTACTCTAGAGGTACTGCGTACATATATTAATCCAGCAATTGGTTATGTAACAAAAGAGCATTTCTAATTTAAATAATCTAAAAGAATATCACATGCTTCAGTTGTCATGAAAATAGTACCTTTTCGTAAAAATTGCCTATATTTTTACCAGTTTCCCCGCGATCCAGTAGCGCATTTCCAGATCATTGAGCGATGGAGGAGGCGCCCCGTTTTATAGGATGGAATTGTGTTTGCCGGTACAAAAATTCCACCACTTTATTGTACACACATATCTATTAGGGTGTTTAATTTTTAGGCGATATATTTTTTCTCTGTGCTACCTAAAAATCTGATACTTCAGAGAAAAAAAATGCGGTTTTTATAGATTAATCTCTAATGTAAGAATAATAATAAATATGGTCTTAAAATACATCTGATGTAAATTACACAGTTTGACAAATTTTTACTTTTTTGTTGTCACCTGATTTGATTTAATTTTTTTTCTTCTTTTTAGTCTTGTCTCTATAAAATTTTGCACTATTTACAACATCTATGCTTTTGTTCATTTCACTAAATAATTTCACTAAATGCTGTTAAAAGCTATAATATACATTCAGGCTCTTAGCAATGCATAGCGTCATCCAGAGCTTGTATATTAGGGTGGCCCAAAAATGCATGCGGAGAAAAAAGTTTATGTATTTTTCTAAATGATAAAAAATATTACCGGTTTTTTTTTGGTTTTATATTTAGAACTGCCTCAAAGCTCATTAAGTTTTCCATGTTTTCGCAGAAATATAAAATGAAATTGTGGTAATTCAATACTTTTCGATTACAAAACTCGGTTTCTCTTTAGGATCTTTAGGAGACTTCCAATAATAATACCCATTTGTTTATTTGGAATTTTTTTTTAATATTAACTAAGTTTGATAGGTGACCAAAAACCCCAAAGCAAATAAAATGCAATCTTAGAACCCATAAAATATCGTTAGTATTAAAAAAGGTAAAATAAACAATGGCATCTTATTTCTGGAAGTCTCCTTAACAGAAAAAGCGTTTACCGATTGAATTTCCAGAATTATGTACCATTTCTACGAAGAAGTGTTTTTTTCACATACAAAATACATGGACAACTTCATGCGATTTGAGAGGATTCTAAATATAAATTGTTTTTTTCTTGTAAACGAGAAGATAATAGTATTCTTTTTTTGATTTAGAAAAATACTACGGGGTGAGAGCTTAACATTTTTAACTTTTTTTTCTTTTGTATCTACAAGCAAACGCCGACTGCCGAAATCATTAATTAGTAAAGAAATAAAATGCAATGCAACCTATTCCCTAGACCTAAAGTAAGTTGATAGAAAAGTGGTAATAAGCTTTGTATGTATTTAAGCCATTTTATTAATTAATTTTATTGAACAAAATGTTTGAAACAAGTGGCAACCCTCTTCAAAAATATTTTTCAAACTATGCTTACTTATACCACATTAGTTCGATACCCAAATTGTAATATTTCATTTATTTTATTAAAAGATATTTTTCGAAGAGGTGGCAACTCTCTATTTTTTATGTTTTAAACAATTTGGAGTCTATATCGTAAACATCTAGACAAGGAATTATTTAAATCACCCTAGCCATTTTTTATATTTTTATATATGCTATGCATATAGTTTTTATTTTTTCGATATCTATGCAATGTGTATCTTTTCATCGGCGGCGACTTAATTGAGCACCTCAACGCCAATTTGACTATACTAATATTCCGTAGAAAAACTTCAAAGATTTATAAAAATTTGAATTCTTTTTTTTTATTATTTTACTTTGTGTTTGCATCTCAATAAATTAAAATAAATATTAACTTAGCTTTTTGGATTTGTTTGTGTTTGTTCGGAGTTCGCGGAGTAGTAATAAAGAAAATATATAACAAAAGAGTCAGGTAAATGCAGAAAGATTATACTAGAATTAAGAAATGTGGAAAATAAAGCAAATAGTAAGGAATAAAGGGAAAATAGGATAGTGGTGCGGGGAAATGTAAAGCTAAAGTAAATTAAAGGAAAGGCGTTGAGTAAAAGAATTTAAAGTAACAGTGCAATAGAAGAGTGAAAGTGGTAAAAATGAAAGTGTGAACAGAAAAAGTGTGAAAAGTGAAAGTGCAGTGAAAGTGAAAGCTAGTCACAAGGTTCAAGTCTTGAAATTAGAGAATGACTAAATCCTTAAATTAATAAAAATAAATTACAATTAATAAATATCCTACACGGATAAAATGGTAGCTCAGCGTTTGCTTTAGTCCTTTCCTTTTCCTAGTTTCCGTATGTTCGAGATATTTTTCCATTTTCTTTTGGTTTTGCATTTTTTTCTATGTATGTATACATACATACATATGTACAGGTTATTGTGCTCTCTTTGCTTTTTACAACAGCTCTATTGTGTATTTACATATTTCTCTCTCACAACAAAGCCAAAGTTCTTTGGATTATGAATGTCCTCAAGCATTCAGCGACAGCATTCACCTATCTACGATGATGAGCTGTAGCTGGACGATGAACCAGGCGAGCTGGATCCGGAGTTGTATGAGCTAGAGCTGGGATGGTATGCGCTGTAGGCGAGGCTTTGCGTGTCCCAACGGGCATATGGGCCACCGCTGGCTGGTTCCCAACTGCTGGGATCGTATGAGGAGGCAGTGGTGCTGGGTGGACCGTATTCAGCTGATGGCGCAGGCGCGGGCACCATCATCATTTTGGCGCCAGACAATTTGGTGATCAAGTTGTAGATGAGGAAGCCAAGTACCAGTTTGATGGCGATTTTCGACAATATCAAAGCCTTGAATGCTTTGAGTCCAATCAGACCGAGAAGGATTGGCAGGACGACCTTCAGTTTCAATTTCATGAGCAATAACAGAGGCAGGAGCAATTTGTCCTTCTTCTTCTCACCGCGGGCTGATGGAAGGTCATGGTTGAATTTGAATTGGTGGATTATTGTTTAGGAGATAGAGAAAAAAGAGAAAAAATTTGGTTGAATAAATAGTTTTTATGCGTAGAGGGCCGAGTTGATGTGTTATCGAAAATTACTGCCTAAATAAAACAAGTATTTGAAATTTTTTTCGTTTTTTTTTTGTAAATATTAAATATATGTAAATCAAACGCAATAAACTAAAAATTTCAATAAGCAATAAATTACAGAAATATACTTAGTTCTTAACTTTTCTATGTTAAAGCATATTTATAAAGAAAAAAGTATTTAACCCAAAACAACAAAAAATAGTAGCTTAAGTCAAGCCAAAAGTCCGTAATTACATAATTTAAAATTTTGTAAAAAAAAATCTTGGAATTATAGAAGTATTACTTGCGTTATTTTGCAAAGTTCAATCGTTAGAAGTGTTGTGGAAAAAAAATTCTTTGGCAATTTTCAAAATTAAACCATTTTAATTAGTCAGATGAAAAATCGATTTCACTCGCAAATAGCCAGAAATTTCCTATTTGATCCACCCCACTTTTTGAGTTCATATCATTGCTCACACTTTATCTAATTTCATTCCAGAGAAATAATTTTCACTCTACTCATTTTCCCAAACATCCTTTTCTATATTCACACACTGAACTTTTCCACCACCTCTACTTACCTCCAGTCTCGGGCACTTCCACATCAAAACCGCGAGCAGCGCTGTAACTAACCACCGAACTGCCAAATCCGGTTTCGGGCAAGCGTAGGCGGAATTCATTGTTATTCAAAATTCTGGCAACACGATCAACGATCACTTTATCGATGACATCCTCACTGAATGCGCGTCCACTAATATCTTCTTCCACACCAGCCACGCCATCTAAATAGGTTAACACTTTCTCCTTGATACAATATAGTCCATTAGCATGGAAACAGTTATCCACAATGGTGGTAAGCAGCTCATCCGTATTGCGTATACGCGGCTCAGCCACCGAATTATCAATGGCGGCAGCATTGATCGTCGAAGCGGCAGCGAACAACAAACAACCGAACGCGATTAAGGATGTAAAACGGAATGCCATTTTGGAGGGAGGAAAATAAAAACAAAATAAATTGTATTAGTGAACTACGCGTTTTCGGTGACCGTTATGCGATGATTGGCCTGCTTGTATTACTGCGTGTTCACTACAGAATCGATAATTAGACAATGATATCCACTTGGTCGTGTATTCATGATTTTATACTGCCGCTCCCCCAGTAGCTAAACGTTATCGGCCAGCGGCCAGAGAGTACACTTGTTGACTGGCGGTTAACGCGGAGCGGCAAGAGCCACAACGCTTTTGTAGAAGTTGGGAGTTGGGAGTTGGGAGGAGCGAGCATGCACCATGCAGCCATGCAAAGAAGACACACTGGCGTTCGGTTGGACATTGTTGCTGGTACGCGTGAACGTTTTTGGACAATGTCGACAGCACGATTGGTGTGGAAATAGCGACACTCTAGCAAGGTATGTATGTCCGAAAAAAACGCCGACGCGCTGAAATTAGTTTGGCTATGGATTTGGCGATTTTTGCTGCTTACCAGACAACTGAGTTGACATAGCTTTCTTCGCTCAGCACGGCAATGGTCGACAACGGAGAAGTAGGGGAAAGCGAAGCGCACCACGTAGACTTGAAGGGTGTATATTCGTCAACATTGCAATGCATTTCCATTGCCAATAACACTTTTTCATGTGTCCGCAGCTAAAGCTAAATTTGGCTGTGAGTAGAAACGATCGCTTACAGGCAGCATAACTAACGGCTTTGGCCACAAAACACTTGCCGCTTAAAAAAAACGACGTGATCGAAAATAGCGTAAATGAAGACAGTCGCAAGCAGCTAACGTTTGTATGGTGTAGAGGTGTACGTGTTTTCATTCTAATTAGTATGCAGGGGCGGCACTCTTACGCGGCTACTGGCTGTCTATAGAAAATAACAACAAAAACGTTATAAACACTCAAAGCGTCAAATGAAGAAATGCGCGTCAATCCAAAGAAATGCAATGCGTGAAACATTAGCAACAATTATGTATGTATGCTTGCTAATACAAGAGTGTTGAATACGTTGGAGTATAGATTTGTACATACATACATACATATTTAATTTTGTTTTTTTTTTTTGTTTTGTAAGCACATATTTTAACGTATCTCCATTGACTTTTGTCAATCGAAGTTGCTTGTGCCAATTTTTTCACATACACACGCACACCCACAAGTACATACAAATGAGGGGGTAGGTGAGGTCAGTGGGGGCATTGTTGCGGTGGTTCGGAGCCAACTTTGACACCATTGAGTCGCATTGCTATGTAGAAGCAAGTTGTTGCATTGTTTGCTAGCCATGCGGAACTGGATTTTGTCTATTAATTTTGGTTATGAAATCGAAACCTAACTTACTTACCAAAAATATGTCAACAATTTTTGAGTGTAGAAATATTTTTATTTCACTTTTGTTTTAGGAGTGGAAAACGATTTCTGTTGCCATAAATTGTAAATATAGCATTTACGCATGGCAACCTGCGTAAGTAGATTAATATAGCCTACACTAAAGAATTTATGTACAAATTCATTTGTTTATAAACTCCATTTCACTTTAATAAGTCCACTATTTTTTTTTTTTCAAAAGTCAAATGTGTGTAATTTATATATACAAATACATATGTATGTACTCACAGAAAATTTACTTAAATTAAGGTCATTTTAATGGAAATGACATTTTTATGTTTTACTAGATAGAAAAACTACAAAAATGGTACAAAAGAAATACTTCTTTGTGGCCCACGTTTGCAATTATGCGCCAACTAAAATATGTAGAACATTAACTTCCCAATGTTTTTGTTCACCCAATTGCAGGATTTCTAATGGCTTGTTTACACGTACTTTTGTCAATTGTCAACACATAGACATTTTATTATTAACTGGTATTTTTTAAGTGAAATAGGAGGAGTGGTGCCGCTGGGGACTTGCATGTCCTACTTTCCTCAATACGCGTCAAAACGACAAATGACAATCGTCACAATAATGACGAGTTTAATGCATTGCGCTCGGTTGTCTGGCGACGGATTAAAAGCAAGGTGGAAGGATAAAGAGGAGAAAGTAGTGCAAATATACAATTATAAAATTGGAGTTATGTTCAGCTTTACCGCTAGTTTCTTATGAATGCGAATACACTTTATATTTTAAATGGCTCATGAGGCTAATAACAATAATAACAATAATATCGATATATCTATAGATATAAATGATATGCAAATGCAGGATAAGTATGAAGGTGATGTTTGTACTAAAGTCAAAGTTTGTAAATTTATAGATTAGTACTTTCGTTTTTATTGACTTTCTAAAATCTTTAATTTAGAGATAGTTCGACACTCTAGTGAATCAAGAAAATGTTACGAAGCAAATTTTCTTAACTATATGTAGGTACTATGTTCCACCATCAAATTTATTTGAGAAAGCACTGAATTCAATCAAATTTGTAAACTAATTTTATGAAGAGCGCAAACACAACAATGTCTGCTATGCTATGTATTGAGGTAAATATTTGCAGGAATACCAAAATATGCGTATTAGCTATTTATTTCAAAATTACATTCAAAATCCAAATGTGTGTATTTTCATAAGCATGTAAAAATGTATAAAAGACACGTATGTATGTAAGTGGTATACTTTATTAATTGCATTTTAAGGTTACAGTAATTCATATATTTGTATGTTTATATATGCATCCATATTTGCCATCTAATTTCATCTGATTATTACGAGAATGTACTTTAGAGTTGTCCAAAAATGCATGTGAAAAGGTAAAGTCGGAAGTTTTATGCTGTCACCCCCTAGGATTTTTCTACACCGAAAAAATATACCCTTACCTTTTTTATTTTGAAATCAAAAAATATTAAGATTGTTTTAGATATAAAAATACATGTAAAACTTCAAGCACTTTGAGCGACCTCTAAGTATATTTTGATTTAGAAAAAAAAAAAAAATAGTGGTATACTTTTTTCGATATAAAACAATCCTAGGGGGTGAGAGCATTACAATTCCGACTTTACTGTTTTCGAACCACCCTAATGTACATTTTACTGCATTTTGATTACTTAATTGCGTTTGCGAATGCATCAGTAGCATATAAAATAACTTGTATTCAATGTTGCCAGCTTTTTATTTAAAATAATTGTGTTTTCAACAAAAAACGGAAAATTAAGGTTTCTCAATTATAATCTGGAATTAAAAAACAAACACAATTGTAATTTTTTCTAGGAGGTAATTTGAAAAGCCGTAAACTCGTATTAAAAACACCGTTGCATGTTGACCTTTTTTGGATACAGTTTGACGTTTTTTTGTAGGGACCGCAAAAAACTGTTAAGTGTTGCAAATTTGCTTCAAATAAATCAACATGGAAGAGGGTTCGGAAGTATATGATATAGTATGTATATGAATATGATCGACTTTTAGAGATCTAACAACACAAAACGAGAACGAGCTGTAAAACGAGAATATAACAAGTATTTCCTCATAAGAGAGGTCCCAAACTGAGAACATTTTGTACCAACGCCTTTGGCCTGAAAACTAAGGTTGAATTGACATGAGGCGATTTTCTAGACGATTTAAGATTGCTTCAGAAAAATCGCGCTCGTGTAAATGGTGATTCAAAAATCGCTTGCCTCAAAGTAGACAGCTAGTCAACTTTTTAAGGCGATTATCACCTGTCAAAAATCGCCTCATGTAAAGGCAGCTTTAGGTCAGTGAATTTTTTCTCTAATATTTTTTTTCTGTCACTACCTTTTTTCTAAAAGTATGTTTTTTTCTAATTTAAGGTAAGTTCCTTTAGTTCAGGTGTAAATATTTATTTCTAAAATTTTATGATAAAAAGAGCTAGTTAAATATAATGGAGGCACATTATAAAAAAAACAGAAAACTTTAAAATTTACATACTGCAGTTTTCCCCACAAAGGTTGTTTTCTATTTGTATAATTTGTTCTGCTTTAAGTAAAAATATTTTTTATTTAAATATTTCTTCCTAAAAAATATTTTTTAAAAATTACACTTTTTTCATAAAAAATCTTTTTTTTTAAATTTTTCTCGCTGATGCCTACTTTTTTTTTTAAGTTTCGTTCTAGAAATGGGATTTTAGAATTTTTTTTTTGTAAATTGTTTTTCCATCACAAACTTTTTTTCTAAAAGCATTTTTTTATAATTTGTGCAAACGAAAACTCGTATTGATAATAATAATTAATAAAATTATTAAATCTTAAAAGGAGCTGTTTGATGGAAACTGGCCGGATTTAACTTGCGTTGAATGAATGATGAGTTTAAATGTTTTTTATGTTTTTAAATACACACATACATGTGTACATATGCAGTAGAACTCCTTTTTCTGTGGGTGCTTTCTTTCAAGCCAATTTATAAAGAATTTACAGTGTGCTTGCTGTAATCCGCTTTCGGATATATCTGAAAAATGATTCCACAAAGGAATTCATACACAAAATAACTGATAGGCTTTGTGATGAATGCATAAAATCAAACATGCACAGACACATAAATGAATTTTTAATGCTTTTTGCCGCTGTTATTTTTTTTTGCGAATTTACTTACGTCAATCTGAACAAACCTACACGTACATATGTAAATGTATCCATAGTAAATGTGTAACAGTAAATTTATTATTGTAGCTGTCGCGCACCTTGGTGCATCACAAATTGTTTGATTATGTAGGCGCCCATTGCTACCAATGCTTACAGCCAAATAATGCGACGATATACGACTATAAAGAGGATCTGAAATTTCAGTATTTGAAGTAAAAGAAAAAATGTATATTTATGTATGTACGTATGCAGATATTAGGGGCGGCCTATATGACCAAAAAGACACTGACTATAACAAGATAACACGACCCAAAATAATTTTGCTAACAGGATGATGTTTTCAGACAAATGAACATAACTTGTAAGGTTTTATGTATACCATTTTAAGTTCTTTTTAAGGCTAAGTGTACACGGTAGAAAAATATCGCTAGAGTTTTACTGAAATAAAAATTTCCTCACTCACACGGAA